CTGCTATCGTCCAACTTTTATTTTATAATAAATAGTTATTGAAAAAAGTAATTAACCACTAGGAACATGTATTTATGAAGCATTTTATGTCCTTTGCTTAAAAACCATTTATCTATTTTAGGTTCTGACGAAAATGTTGACGTTGGTCTTTGTTTAACAAAACTTGGAGCAAAAATTCAAGTTGATGCTGTACCACAGCAAATACTTGAAAAAACTGACTTATTTTATGTTTGTGAAAATTGTGGAAAAGTTTACTGGGATGGCACCCATTTTGAAAAAGTTCTTACAAAAAGGCTTCATGATATCGTAAAACTGTAAATTAATTAAGACACAATGATTTTTTATGTATGTATTATCTCGCATGGAGATTGAGTTTAAACTTTATGCAAAAGTGAAACTTATTATGTTTATTTATTCCATGTTACTAACTTTTTACATACTCGACGAAATGCTTAACTGCAATATTTTTTATAATTATTATTATTGTTGATAGGTTTTGTAGCCTAAAAAGTTCTTATTAATACATTATAATTAAAGAGTGTCAAATGAAAATTTCAGAATACATCATTCTTTTCATATTTTGCATTTTTCCACTAACGCTTACATAATTCTCTTTTGGAAAAAAAAGCATTTTTTCCTATTTGAGAAACAATTAAACTTTTACTACGAAAAATATTTATTGTAAATCAGCAGCAGTTTCTAATTTTAGACGTCAGAATTGTATTCGTTTTAAAGGTAGGTACATACTTTTTTAATCTTCAAATTCATACTAGGAAATATTAAAATTGATAAAAAGCCCTGTAAAGTTAAAACAACACGGACGGTGAAACCGGAAACTTTGTGCATAATATGCAGTTACTTTTAAAAAAAAAAATCATTTACATAATATTAATATTCTATCAAAAAGACACAAGATGTTAGAGATCGTATGTTTAAGCTAGTTAGTTACATTTACGACTCGGAGAAAGTCCTAGAGGTTTATAAACGGAACGTGGTGGTAACCATACCTAAAAAAAGAGGCGCGGATAGGTGGGAGACATTTAGAACAATTAGCTTAACTTCCCATGCATCAAAAATCTTAAATAGAATTGTACAGAGGGGGATGGAAAAAAGGGCGGAAGAACTATTACGGAAAGATCAATAGAGAAAACGATAGAAAAAAGAAAGTGGGCGTACATAGGATTTGTAGATTTAGAAAGCTTTTGACTATGTTAAATGGGACAAGATGTTAAATATACTTAAAAATGTAAGGATAAGTTACAAAGATAGAAGAGTGATACATAGTTCTGCAACGTAGAGAAGTAAATCTTAATAAGAGTCAGACAAGATTGCACACTGTCACCGCTGCTTTTTAATCTACACATTGAAGACGCGATCAACATCATTAAAGACAGTACAACTGTAAGGATAGATATAGAGGGTCAAAAATTAGCTCAGGATAGAAAAGAGTGGAGGTGCGTGTCCAACCAGTCTTACGACTGACAACCTAATGATGATGACAATATAAAATTCATACTCTTGCCCCACAAGAGCGTAAATCAGTTAGCCAAAATAATACAGAACAATCAGTTCTTGGTCAGAAATTTATTAAGTATTTTTTGGTTCAATTTTATCACATGCTTATACTTCAGTAGGGACAGAGCATTTGAAAGTAGAGATCACCTTTACCTAATACTATTCGTAAAAGATTCAATTTTCAAGTGTTTTTAAGTTAAACAAATTCACAGTATTTATATGGAAGAGTATTTACCAATTTTCTTTTCACATGTGCAAGTACACAAATGGAAACTTAAAATAATAGAATAACCTTAAGTGCTCTACATATATCCAGAACGGTATGACTCCCTCCAATGATAGGATACTTACTTAATGATACTTACAAAAGGTGGTGTTTCTTAAGTGGTAGGGAAAATAATAAAAATTTTCAGTTAAGTAAAATTTTATTAGTCACTCATTTTTCAATAAAAATAATTTAAAAAAGTGATACATAAAAAATACAAATGTCAGTCAATAATCGACACGCATGCAAGTATTTAAAAACCAATATTGAAATAAACATATACATAATATAATTATAAAATTTTCACATGTTCGTTATATTAGTTTTTCTTAATTGGACAGTCATTAATTACATGAATATCTTTTTCAATGAAACCGATTTGCACTAAAAATACTAGGTATCTAGCACAGCATAAATTATATTTTGAAAATACATTATTAGGTCCAGCCTCAATAATTACAATATTCTCAACAACACCCTTCATTCCATATTTACAAATAACAAAACTGCATAAAAATACAATGCCTAAAGTAATTTTTTTAAATTAGCAGATTTGTAGCTGTTACAGCCAATAAATTCCTTAATTTTGATATAAGTAACATGTTTAATATTCCAATTCCAATATACTTTTCACGTTTTGGACCTTCCAATTCTTATCTCTTTGTCTTATTTTTTGTAACAATTATAAAGTTAATACATGATTTTAACAAAACACAATTATAGATCACAGACAGACACAGCGAAATACATAAAGCTTAAATAGAAGGTACATTTGCATACTTCTCTATAATTTGTAATACCCAATACTGAATAGCGATTTAATAAAAAATCTATTACAAATAAAAAACTACATTGAATTGACCAATTCTTTCGTTTGTTGTTTAGGTTTAGATGAAGATGTTAGAAACAGAATAAATTTTATTCGTTAGATTCCTATACGTTTATCTAAGTATCACACAAAGCATGAACAAAATTCGGATTCTTTTACACTACATTGCTATATTAAATAGATTTTTTAAGAGAAAAACGATGTGATAAGTACGTAGTACATATTAATAAACTTTTAAAACTTCAATAAAAATAAAGTACTTACAAATTATTCGTTGATTTTGTTAAAAAATTAATAGGTAATATAGAAAATCTAAAAAACATGGCACACCAACGTATATATGTATTTAGGTATGTTCATTTGTTATTTTCACTTTTACCTTTGTCGTCATAGCAAAGTCCTTGCATATAATAAAAGTACACATGTATTTAATAATTCAAAGGGCTAATATTGTATGACGTGAAAAGGCAATTTCTCTTATAATAACGTAGCAAACTGACGTAGTAGCCCTCCATTCCAAATCGCTTCAGTGAAATATTTGCCAGTTATGATTATTTGAAACATACCTAAACATTCATCTATAAATATAAAAATATCATTTGGTGATCATAACGTTATTACAAATAAATACACCCCTGTAGATTTAGTAATTTTCAGGGCGGGGTTCGTTATAAAAAACCCACTAACATTGAAAAAACAACAGCAAATGTGTAAAGCTTACTTGTGTAGGTATAAAAGCTCAAAACAATTATCATTGGCAATGGCAATGTATGCAAATAAAATTTCAATATGAAAACTATTATTTTTCAGTCAAAAATAAATGACCAACAAGTGAACAGATTTATGAGACATTTTTCAAAAAATGTTTTTCTAGAACATTGGGAACTATCACTTGCGCGTTTCTCGAAACTAATTTCGTTTTTTCTTATATTTCTGCTTCTAGAGCTGAGATCTACTGGCTTAATATTTCCGATAATCCTTGGGGACGACATTTTATGATTTAAGGGATTTACAGGACGGCCTTTACTCTTTTCTTTTAAATAAAATTTAATGTAACGCCATTCCGTTTCGTCCAAAATTCCACTATATCGAGGGCCATCAAGGGCTTGTATGTTTCGGCTCATGAACTCTGATTTGGTCATTAAGCCATATCTTGGAGCAAATGCCAAGTTCTGAAGCACCTCCTTTTTATCACGTGGGCTGAGGTTAGCGAAATTCTGAGATCTTCTTTGGCACTCTGCTATCGTCCAACTGTGAAATGATCATATAACATGTGATTTTATTGAAAGGTGGATGATCAATCAAAATAATTCAATAAAAATTGACGTTCATTGGTTTCTAAAAATTTAGAGTTTAAAACTTCCACTCATTACAATATAACGTTATACTCAGAATGTCATAGTTATCTACAAGTCACTGACACCTTTTTGATTTATTGTCATATCTCCTACTCAATGTGTTATCCCTATCATTCATTCCCTAAGTTCAGCAGAAAAGAGAATTATCATCATGTGAAACTTTGTTTATCGTAATACAAATAATTGTTTTGTACAAAACAGATTTATGTATGAATAAATACTTACTTGAACACAGTTTTATAAACAATAGCTTCACATGAAACTTGTAGTGTATCTCTCTGGAGTATGTTCAGGATATCCGGATACGATAAATTTAAAATATCTTTGTTTTGTAAAATGTAGTCTGCATTTTTATCTATTTCCAAAAGACAATTATGACGAATGTCACCAAGTAATTTTGGAATCCATTCCGTGGAATCCCTCTGATCTTGCTCTGAAAAGGGTGGTGCCGAAGGTCGAAAGTTTTCCGTCCTCGATTTTTCACAATCACCTAAAAGTTAAACAATAGGTCTATCATCAATTAAAACAAATGTTAAGATGTATTTTAAGTGAGCTTAATAGCCCATCCTCAACATCTCTCACTTAATCGAAATGTTTTTAATTAGCTTACCGATGGAGATATCCTTCGTGAAATGAAAGAAAAATATTTTTTTTAATATTGCGACATTATGAAGATTATATCTACTTTTGCATTCTCACTTTTGATTGAACATTACCTTTGTCATTTTAAAATTAGAAAGAAGATTTTTTATGTTGTAAAAACAGTTTTTTTTAATATATGTACATACTTTTGTGAAACTGCATGCTTAATAAAAAGAACAATAAAATAAAACAATGTTTCACTGTTGTCTTCTTTTCTTGTTCATTAAATGTATCTATATTTTTTAAAAAAGACAGGTCTGATATTCTGATTCTCCATGCATTTTAGGTATTATACCAAGGTCAAAAGCAATCCTAATTACCTTAAAATCCAATATATACTTAAGAAATAAACGACTTAAACAAAAATTGTTGAAGTTAATGTGAAATACCCCACAGAAATCTTGCCTTTGGCTTGATTTTGACCCAGGGGTGACAAGTAAATGAAGTAATAAAAAGTAAAAATAAGTAAAATAAACAAGTAAACCTACTTTAGCCCTACATTCCTTGTACAACAGCCAGGCAAGTTAACCCACAAATCCCTACTTTTTCAAACAACAGAAAGGTAAGTTGTCCTATCTTAATTCTTTCCTAAATACAACAAACGCACGAGTCACAATACAGAATAGGTAGGTACTTACGTTTATTATTAATGTGAAAATTCATTTAATTTTTATCTACCACAAATTACCTCAAACGAACGAGGAAAAATTGTTGCTGCAGTCACACCCTCGCCAGGAATCGAACCTGAGACCTTTGACTTTACGCATCAATACTCTGACCACTAAGCATTAATTTGAGGTAATTTGTAGTGGATAAAAATTAAATGAATTTTCACACTAATATTAAATATTAACCACTATTAAAATGTTTCTTAAAGTATTTGCATATAAGTTGAATTTTATTTAACTAATTTAATAGCCCTCAATTTACCTCGGTTAGCCAGATTAAATAAGTATTTTAATTGATAACTTCAACTATCATTGAGAAATTTGGGAATGTTTATTTTGCAAATAACCCCTGCGTTAAAGGACATGAACATCACCGCGAGATATTTTGCAATTTATATCTGTATCCTTCTCAAATACTAGGTTTTGAAATGTTATTAAAATTGTCGTACGGTATAAGTTCTAAGGATCATTTCAACATGCATATTGAATATAGAATATTTTCTAATATCGATTTCCGAAATAAAAAAAGAGACCCTTTTCGCAATTTTTAAGTGTATACCGTAAAATTACATTTGAACTTGGTCCAATGTCACCAAACTGTCCGGTATGTCTCATGCAATTCTGATGCGTGATGGTTATACTTTTCTCCATAGTTATGGATATCATTAAAATTTTTTAAAGGTTTCATGCTTTTTCCTATCCTTATATGTTCTTGCTTAGAAATAGCACTTTACGATTTTGAAGTTCGATAATTTGGAAAGGAGGCTTCAAATATTTAGCATGGAGTTTGAAAAATATTATTGTAAAAGTCCGCTGTGCTTCATTAATCATTCGTTTACATTTTTAAAATTATCGAATAAATAATCATTGAAAACTACAGAGATTAAACAATGGGAATGCGTTACAATTAGAACTTAGATCATGTTTCAATTATTCCATTTACTTTCCGACTTTTACTTGAAACAAATTAGACGCATTGCAGTCTATTCATTTGAAGTTTTACCTGTTATTTTTAGACAATTACTCATTTAATCCAAAAATAAGAATGGAAAGCTTGCCTTAACATTTCTAAATAAATACAATAACGTCTCCTCTTTTCACATGTTTGTATCATCGCATATCTTTTTAATAAAAAATACCAATAGATAGCGAGTATAGATCTACAAGAAGAGATATTTATATTTAAACTTACCTAAACTAGAGTATATTGTCAGTACATTTTGTGGATTCAGTTGGTTATCTAATGACTCGATGCATTTCTGGAGAAGTACTCTGTCCCTTGTAGAAATCGCAACACGTAAAAAGTCCAATGCCGTTTTTACGTCTCTAATATCGAGTGGAATAGTATACTGTGGACTGGAAAAGAAAACCATAACTCATGCACATTATCTATATAAATCTGTCGACATAATGTTTTGCAAAATAAAATAAAATCCATTAGCTGACGTTTTCATATTAATTTTTAAGATTTTTGACTAGTTCTTCTGTAATTATAGTAAGTGACGAATAAGCTTCGACAATGTATCAATTTTGGTACAATCAATAATTTATTTATAATTTCGCATCATAAGTAAATGTTCAAAATCAAAATCTTTATCAAAAAGCGTCATGCTTAAAACAAATTAAAATTAGATATCCATTTTTAATTTTCTGCAAGCTTCATTCACAGTATTTCATAATTTTTTTGGAATTCTTAAATAGCTGTGAAAAGCTAATAATTCCAAAATGAACCGTACTCAACGGCATTTTTAAGCTTCTTGTCTCAATTTGTGTAGAGGGTGGAGGGAAATATTGTTTATTTTAATACACAAGGGCTGACTTTCACGGCGGGCATCCTCAGTACAATTATTTGTTTTCGGGCTTTCTGGTCGTTATCTTTGTATAATATTCCCGATGTTTCACCTACAACTGCGGCAGGCATCAGCACCCCTTATATTAAAAGAAAAATAACTTTTGGGTGTTTAATTCCCACCAGTCACTAATGCTGGTGGGCGGACAGTCCCTCCGGACAACGGCGAAAGGTAGGGCGGAAGGCCCTCTTCAGTCTCTTTTCAAGGAATCGTGGGAATGGGTGAGTGGTGACTCGGGTGAGAAAGATGGGACGGACGAAATGAAGACAGAAGAGAATGAAAGATTATCTGTGGAATGAAAGAGTACCTATGGAATATTACTACCCCAGCATTTGCCTAAGTGATCCAAGGAAACCACAGAACAACTTAGACCAAGTCAGGCGGACCCGGAATTGAACCGGCGAACTAAGCAATGGACTAAAGCTCTAGACCATGCCGTTAGGTGAAGGATGTTTACTGTCCTTTGTTTATATACCTGCAGATTATGTGCTAATGGCAGACTTACACATTTTTCTATATTGAAACGAAAACGTTTGCAGAAATCATATTTTAGTTAATGTATAAGCACCACATGTTTCATTTATACTGGAATTGGAGAATGATAATTAGTAAAAAGTTAGCATTTACCTGTGCCTAATAATAACATTAAGTAATAGACCTTGAAGAAGAACATTAGTGTGTTATGCCACTTTCGAATAATTTTAAAAAATTTGTATTCTTTTATTTGATATTCGTTATTGTCTCACCCAAAAAATATTTTAAACAATTGACGAATATATCATTTTAGAAAACTTTTCATGTGTACGAGTGGTCATGTGCTAATTATTTGTCAGACTAAGTATGATGTATAACAATAATATAGAAATATTCTTAATGCTTGCTGAAGTCCCCGTTGGCCAACATTAATAACCCCCAACTATTGTTCTCTGCACTAGTGAGAACACAAAAAAAATTCAGCCTTTATACTTTAGCACAGGTCTGGCAGGCGCTGGCCCAGAGCTTAGACTATAACCTTGAGGTGTATACAGATATGCAGTAAATGAGACGTATAAATGACATGCAGGATAATACACAATCCAGAAATTAGGAAAGCTTTTAATGAGACAAACATAGGACGGGAGTAACATTTTTAAAAAAAATTAAGCTCGGGAGAGAAATATATAGGCAGTCGACCACGAAGCAGTCCGACAAAACACTGAAAAGACCGGCTGATGGGCCGGTCTATTGGGTTGTTTTCCCGACGTTTCACCCACAAGTGTGGTGGACATTTTCAAGGACGATAGCACTTGTTACCGTTTCGCATCGGAGAAGACTCCGACTTTGCCCTTGAAAATGTCCAGCACAGTTGTGGATGAAACGCCGGGAAAACAACCCAACAGACCACGGCTTATCAGCCCCGACAACAGCTTATCTATATTCGACGTGTCGTGATGATCGTGAAAGTCTACAATCAACACTGAAAAGACCATCAAATTAAAAAAGACATGGCTACTAAATGAGGATCACAATTTTACAGAAGAGCCTACGATAGACAGGTGGTCATGGAAGAAGTGCGTTGATAAGGCCAAAAACTACCTTAGATGCCCATGGACATGAGAGTAGTAACATTATCTATATAAGTCAAAAATGCAGAAACTTTGTGCCACCCAGATGGGTTCCATCATTGACATTTAGATATACAACTTCATGTAGAAAAAGCAAACGTCGATTGCAATGCTTTTCCTTATGTACTGCTGTACCACATTTTTTAATGAATAAACTCTTAATGGTTTTAAGAAATTTAATTCATTAGCACAAAAAACGGAATATTTACAAAATAAGTACAATGTAAAACTATCGTGAAACTAACTAACAAATAAACTAAACTAATTGAACGAAGAAATATATACAATGAAAATACTAAATGAAAAAATGTATAAGGACTTGATTGGGTTGAAATGTGATGAATGATTTGAGCTGACTGACTGACTTACTGACTGAATTAACTGTTTATATAAATGTGGAAGTAAATAGTTACAAAGTAGATACATAATTCACTGATGAATATATAATATATTTGTAACATAATAGATATAGCGAACGAGACGACTGAACTACCTTAATTTGGGAAAACCAGATGAGGGTTGCAAATTGAATTGTAAAATGACCCAAATGGTCGAACATGACTATGAATAACTTAGAATTAAAAGTGACAACTTTGCAAACAAAAATAAAATTTTATATCTAGCTATACTTGTTGTAAAAGTCTTTGATAAAACCGAACAACTTCATAAAAGTTAATTGGTATTGAGATTACACTTAGTAGATTCTAAATAGATATATTCTAATTCCGTTTTAATATATAAAACGAATACAAACATTATCTTTTAGGCACAAACTACTAATACCGACTAATCCTTAAATTTTTAATAACGTTTGCAATGGCGGCAGTTCCGGCAAAGAAGATTCACACTTTCTTTCTAGATAGCATTGAAAAATTTTGTGTTTTAGGACAAATAAAGATTTTCCTTTTGAATCTATTTTTTTTTAGTTGCCAAACTTCTTCCATACTTTTGTTCAAAATGCCACTTTACCTCCGATTATAATAAATCAAAAACAAGATCTAATACCTACAGTAGTTACCTACCTGACGGCTTGCCGAAAATTGTAAGAATTCTGACCGATTATGGCTGGATTTTGTTCGTAGTCCACAACACATGGCGTGGCGTGCATCGACTCCTTTTCCACATCTTGAAAAGGTTCGTGAGTTACCACAACCATTTTAAGATCCACGAGACGATTTTGGACGTCTTCTGAAAGCAAAGTCAATAATACTAGATTACTCCACCACGGCTATAGGCTATATAATACATTTTACATTTATAATAAAAAGGATGATTTTTATAATTTTAACGAATTAATGGCTGTAGTATGATTTTCTGTTAAACTACAGCAGATTTATCAAAAGAAAAAAACATTATTATTAGATACCTATATTAACGAAAAGTACGGATTATAGTAGGTACCCAGCAACGTAAAATGAACTATGCATTTATGCATTTTTTTTACCATGAGGAACATTTGTTTATGTATACTCAAGTCATATCTGTCGTTTTATGGGTGGGTATGAGTAAATATTACATTAAAATCGAGTGTTAAAAGAGATACAAATAGATAATGCGAATGCAGCAAGTATGATTCATATCTTTCTTTAAAAAAAGTAAACAAACACTTCACGTAATCTTTAATTTTATCGAAATAAATGAGAAAGTCGTTGCACGATATGATTAATCTAATAAGTATTTATACCAATTCACAATTTAATTTTCTATTAAAGTCTTGCAAAATTATCTTATAGCATTATTTCACTCGAATAAATCAAATTGTTCAAAGTGGCATAAAAATTTTTGAATAAAACTACTACTTCAAAAACGATTTATTATATACCTCCATCAATATTAGATATTCGAGGAAGTTAACACAGGAGACATGGCATACCTACACGGTAGACTCAAGATAATGAGAACATAGATTTACGAAAGCCCCGCATAAAGTGACGAGCATATTAATTACTTATGTTAATTCGTTTCAATAGTTTTTAAACAATCCTCAAAAAACCGCTAAAACCGTAATTACAAACTGTTTAGTTCTTGAGACTGAAAATTATTAGTACTAAACTTATCAAATAAGTGTGGTAACTAACAGTATAAGTAGTTTCTGCACTATTCTGTTTTTTGTTTATAAAAAAAATGAAAATTTTGATTTCAAAAAATACAGAGCTGATTGTAACTCATTAATGTTAGACCAACGTGCTACTTCGATTTTTTTTTACTAAAGTTGCCCTGGTCGACGGTAGCGACTGGGCATATGAGTGATTCGCTTCGGGCATTCAAACCGAAGAGTTCGAAATGATTGCAGGATTAAAAATTACATTCTCTAAGCAACTACCGGACGAAAAGTCTTCACTTTTGTTTTTCACTCGACAAAATATGAGTAATGAATATAGTGTAGGTAAAATAGAATTTCTTTTCGTTTTTGTTTATATAAATTTGGAACTTCAAAATTCCATGGACCATGACATTGAAACCCGAAAACCATTTCAGAGAAAATTACAATTTTTTGGGCTCTCTTCAGTTAAAGAAATAGAAAACATTCATGAAATGCCTCTCTGTCCCCTTTTTAAACTTCTAAAACCTTCAATAGCCAATGTGAGCAACTTTCATTCATCATTTTAGATAATGTTTGATCAGTGATACTAGCAAAACATATGATTTTACAAATGGAAAAATATTTTAAATAAAATACAAAATGCTTTTCTCATAAAAGTATTTAAATGCACTATAAAAAAAAGGTATTTTTTATTTTGTATTTACATTTTAAATGCAAGTATTTCAAATAAATCACATCTGTAGTTATTTCCAATCGAAATTTTCAATTTTATTTGATCTCATCAACGCAGGCAACCCCTATAAATCACTGACCAAGGTGGACGAAATCCACTTGTTACTGACCGAAGAAACTCCTAAAGAGCGAGTTGATGTTAAATCCTGATATAGAGGTAATGAATCGCCATCTACTACGTATTTGCTGCTTACGGTTAATGATGAGCACAGCAAGACGAAGATCAAGACTGTCCCAGTCTTGGTATTGCTCAAATACTTCTAGTATTGGTCTTAGTCATGCTGATGTAGTTGAGTCTCGGTCTCAGTCTTAGTCTGATATAGTATTGGTCTTGGTCTTGGTTTTGCGTGTTAAGTCTTGGTCTTTCTCATTTAATCAGATACTTCGGTTTTTTTTAATAATTCTTCTAAGCACAAGCTTTTCTATTTACCGACACAATAATTGTCTTAAATCCTGAAAATTTCTATCATACATGCGAGAAATAATAATTTTTCGTTTAGTCTTGCGTATTTGGTCTTGGTTTTAGTCTTGGTTTTGTTCATTCAGTGTTGGTTTTAGTTTTGATCTTGTTCGATCGGTCTTAGTTTTGCTGGCATAAAGACTGCAAGACCAAAACCAATTTTACTCGTTACTATTACTGCTACTGAAGTATTTCAATTTCTCTACTTTCTATAATTGTAGTTGTAATAATGTATGTAAAAAATTATTTATTTGATTAAAATAACAAATGGTTCGACGTTAAAAAATTCTTACCTGCTTACCATAAATTCTCGCAAATTAAATTAACATCGCACAATCAAGATCTATGTTTATGTTAATACTAACATGCTGTGTTAACTATAATGCCATCATATTAAGGTACAGACAGTAAATATATCGTAATCAATTTATATTTAGTAATAACTGTAGTATTTTATGTTTGACAAGGGCACGCAGGCTTTATAGTAGGTATGGAAACTAATTAATAAAGAGCACTAATCTGTCGATGAGCAGTTTATCGAAATTACTAAATGTAGATCGTGATTTCGAACTTATTAGTTCTCATCAGCACACCATAAGAAGTTATGTTGAGTCACTAACCAATCCAAAATTGCTTAATAAAAGGCAAGTTAAAATATGTGCCATGATACCAGGGGCGCAACAAGAGGGGGGGGGTCTACGGGTGCCTGAGCACCCACTCGATTGGGTTGGACATCCAGTCAATTCCAGTCGATTCAGGTAATAACCCAACTTGAAGGTTCGGTTAAAATAGTTCAAGATCGTAAATGAGCAACCGAACTCGACCTTTTCAGCTTATACACACCCGCAGTATATAAATATTTATAATATTATAATGGAGCACCCAGTCAAACTGTAACCTTGTTCCACCCCTGCAAGGTACATACAGTGATTTACTGACAGTAGCTATGGTATACCGCCTTAATACTATTTATTATGATGTATTTTGTTAAAAGATTTTTTAATCGATACTTACCGTTATATAGTTCTAAATGTAAAATTACTGTATTTTCTTTATTAACTTTTTTGTGACACCAACTTGTTACATCAACACCGATTAATCATATACAGAAGACTAAAATTAACAAAGCGTTTGCAAATTTATCCTATTTATTATTATTTCAAAGAGGGGTTTTACAGAATCGGTTGTTCGTTATCGTTATCTGGTTTATAAGGTTGAAAAAAGTACATACGTATAAGATATTTACATTTTTAAATAACTTTTTCATCGTCAGTTTTATGAGACTTTATAAGCCATTATTCAACTTTTGCATTACACTTAAATTGACTTTAGTGTCTTGTTAAACTCTTTTCAAGACAACCTTGATAATAATAATACTGCTACAAAACCAATTAAAACATTTGTAGATACTAACATGAGAGTATGTACTATGTACTTTAATTCAGTGCTTTAGTTCATTGTTTAATTTAGTTTATTTTAAATAAATATTTTACTTATTGTTTAATTTAATTTACTGAAAGTAAATATAAATAAAACTTCATGGTGTCAGTATTCTGTCGAGAGGGGGTCGAACGCAGATCAACGGACGGACCGCGATTTCAATCTCATTGAATACCCACTGCATACCACAAACAGTTCTAACGCAATCCCAACAAATTCGCTTCCCAATTTCAACCTATTGCCTTTGGATAGCGTTTTATGAATTACTACAAACAGCATAGGGAACGCCATCTGTTGCAAATTGCTCCATTTTAGTAGAATTTAAAAATTTTCAACAAGGTTCATAAGGATATCGACTTGGTAAACTAAACTCATGGTATAACTACCTCTACGTAGTAGATAAAGTCCATTTGGTACGTGTCTACCACGTAGAGATGGAGACGCCATGACTTTAATCCGACAAAGCGATAAAGTCGATATCGTTATGGACCTTGTCGAACATTTTTGAATCTCACTAAAATGTAGCTATTTTCTACAGATGGCGTTCACTACGCTATTTGCAATACCTAATCCATAAACATCTTAGAGGCCAAAAAACGCCTATTTTATAAACTACCTCTTGAAATAGTACTTTAAATATAATAATCAATGTAAGAATGTTAAAGAAATTCAAAATACTAGTAAGAAACTAAAGTTAAAACCTTTTCAAAGGAAATAAGAAATAATAAATAATTGGTAGCGAAAAGAAGGTGAGGTTACTCGGACGTTCATCAAACAAAATACCTTTTACAATTTGTAAATTCTATTTTTTACAAAATACGTCAGATCATCAACCACTTGATTTTGATGGTATTCTCTTTTATAATGTGCTAGTTTAATCGGCATTAGCAAAAAGGGTTTAATCTTTTTTATACTTCATATCATCGAAACTTTTTGCGACAAACGCTCTAAATGGTTGTAGAAACTATTCTTTAAAATGTTGGAGTACTCGGAATTTCTCGTGTTTTCTCGGAATAGACAATTAAACGCGAACTGGAACTTTTACAAGATAAAGTAAAATAAACAAATACTGGAATGAATCATCACTAGCAGTAACGATAAGATGAAAATAAATAAATACTATTGTGTCTTTAACCAATTAAATATACAAACAATGGAAAACAAATGCATCCCTCAGTTTTTTTCCAACAAAAATAATAAAAAAGTCCAACAAAGAAATTCGAAGTGGTCAGATTTCGATCATTTGGATCTCATCAGCCCGTCGCAGTTCAGTTCAGCAAGTAGATATCCATCCATTTAAATGGACCTTGAATGGATATTGAATTCCATCAAATGTAGCATTGTACTACAGATGCCGTTTGTAGTATTTCATAATAAAAAAGTGATAAAAAAATTGAGAGAAAACTTTTAAGGATAATTCTTAAGAGGAGATACGTAGCGTACACCTCTGTTTCAACCAATTCTGTTACTCAATTGTTACAATATATGCGATACAGTTTCTATCAATTTTAA